CATGCTAGGCTCGTCAAGTCAATCTAAGTGTTTCGCATGTGTTCCGAGGCCATGTCTGTACATGCTAGGCTCGTCAACACCCGTTGTATTTGAACGTAAGAATCTATCACACCCGATCATCACGTGGTGCTTCGAAACGACGAACTTTCACAACGGTGCGCAGTTAGGGGGAACACTTTCTTGAAATTTTAATGAGGGATCATCTTATTTACTACCGTCGTTCTAAGCAAATAAGATGTATAAACATGATAAACATCACATGCAATCAAATAGTGACATGATATGGCCAATATCATATTGCTCCTTTTGATCTTCACCTTCGGGGCTCCATGATCATCATCGTCACCGGCATGACACCATGATCTCCATCATCGTGTCTCCATGAAGTTGCCTCGCCAACTATTACTTCTACTACTACAGCTAACGGTTAGCAAAAAAGTAAAGTAATTACATGACGTTTATGTTGACACGCAGGCCATAAATAAATTAAGACAACTCCTATGGCTCCTGCCGGTTGTCATACTCATCGACATGCAAGTCGTGATTCCTATTACAAGAACATGATCATCTCATACATCACATATATCATTCATCACATCCTTTGGCCATATCACATCACATAGCATACCCTGCAAAAACAAGTTAGACGTCCTCTAATTATTGTTTGCATGTTTTACGTGGCTGCTATGGGTTTCTAGCAAGAACATTTCTTACCTACGCAAAGACCACAACGTGATATGCCAATTGCTATTTACCCTTCATAAGGACCCTTTTCATCGAATCCGATCCGACTGAAGTGGGAGAGACAGACACCCGCCAGCCACCTTATGCAACTAGTGCATGTCAGTCGGTGGAACCGGTCTCACGTAAGCGTACGTGTAAGGTTGGTCCGGGCCGCTTCATCCCACGATGCCGCCGAATCAAGATTGGACTAGTAACAGTAAGCATATTGAAAAAAATCAACGCCCACAACTACTTTGTGTTCTACTCGTGCATAGAAACTACGCATAGACCTAGCTCATGATGCCACTGTTGGGGAACGTAGCAGAAATTCAAAATTTTCCTACGTGTCACCAAGATCTATCTATGGAGAAACCAGCAACGAGGGAGGAGTGGATCTACATACCCTTGTAGATCGCGCGCGGAAGCGTTCAAGAGAACGGGGTTGATAGAGTCGTACTCGTCGTGATCCAAATCACCGATGATCCTAGCGCCGAACGGACGGCACCTCCGCGTTCAACACACGTACGGAGCAGCGACGTCTCCTCCTTCTTGATCCAGCAAGGGGGAAGGAGAGGTTGATGGAGATCCAACAGCACGACGGCGTGGTGGTGGAAGTAGCGGGATTCCAACAGGGCTTCGCCAAGCGCTGCGGGAGGAGGGAGATGTGTCATGGGAGGGAGAGGGAGGCGCCAGGGCTTAGGTTAGGTTGCCCTCCCTTCCCCCCCACTATATATAGGGCCAAGGGAGAGGGGGAGGGCGCAGCCTTGCCCCTTCCTCCAAGGAAGGGTGCGGCCAAGGGGGGGAGGAGTCCATCCTCCCCAAGGCACCTCAGAGGTGCCTTCCCCTTTTAGGACTCTCCCCTCCTCTTGTCCCTTTGGCGCATGGGCCTCTAGGGGCTGGTGCCCTTGGCCCATGTAGGCCAAGGCGCACCCCCTACAGCCCATGTGGCCCCCCGGGGCAGGTGGCCCCACCCGGTGGACCCCCGGGACCCATCCGGTGGTCCCGGTACAATACCGGTGATCCCGAAACTTGTCCCGATAGCCGAAATAGCACTTCCTATATATAATTCTTTACCTCCGGACCATTCCGGAACTCCTCGTGACGTCCGGGATCTCATCCGGGACTCCGAACAACTTTTAGGTTACCGCATACTTATATCTCTATAACCCTAGTGTCACCGAACCTTAAGTGTGTAGACCCTACGGGTTCGGGAGACATGCAGACATGACCGAGATGACTCTCCGGTCAATAACCAACAGCGGGATCTGGATACCCATGTTGGCTCCCACATGTTCCACGATGATCTCATCGGATGAACCACGATGTCAAGGACTTAATCAATCCCGTATACAATTCCCTTTGTCTAGCGGTACGATACTTGCCCGAGATTCGATCGTTGGTATCCCGATACCTTGTTCAATCTCGTTACCGGCAAGTCTCTTTACTCGTTTCGTAACACATCATCCCATGATCAACTCCTTGATCACATTGTGCACATTATGATGATGTCCTACCGAGTGGGCCCAGAGATACCTCTCCGTTTACACGGAGTGACAAATCCCAGTCTCGATTCGTGCCAACCCAACAGACACTTTCGGAGATACCTGTAGTGTACCTTTATAGCCACCCAGTTACGTTGTGACGTTTGGCACACCCAAAGCACTCCTACGGTATCCGGGAGTTGCACAATCTCATGGTCTAAGGAAACGATACTTGACATTAGAAAAGCTTTAGCATACGAACTACATGATCTTGTGCTAGGCTTAGGATTGGGTCTTGTCCATCACATCATTCTCCTAATGATGTGATCCCGTTATCAATGACATCCAATGTCTATGGTCAGGAAACCGTAACCATCTATTGATCAACGAGCTAGTCAACTAGAGGCTTACTAGGGACATGGTGTTGTCTATGTATCCACACATGTATCTGAGTTTCCTATCAATACAATTCTAGCATGGATAATAAACGATTATCATGAACAAGGAAATATAATAATAACTAATTTATTATTGCCTCTAGGGCATATTTCCAACAAGATATTACCCAATGGTAAGCTAGAGGAAACAGTCTTTGCAGGGAATGCCTCTTCGTCGTGGCAAGCTATAAGTTATGGTTTAGAGTTGCTCAAAAAAGGCCTAGTGTGGAGAGTGGGCAATGGAAAAAGTATCAGAGTCTGGAGAGATAATTGGATTCCGAGACCACATTCTTACAAGCCTATCTCACCTCAGCATAATTGTCGTATAAGGTTTGTGGAGGGACTATTAAATGCAAATGGTTCATGGAATTATGAATTGGTGCAAAGATATTTTGTCCCAGCGGATGTCACCGAAATTTTAAAGATCCGGGCGTCTCCTCGTTTGGAGGATGACATTCTGGCTTGGGGACTGGGCAAACATGGTCAGTTCTCGGTTAAATCTGCGTATGATATGGCGTTTGATGAAGAGTACAGGTACAATGCAGAATCAAGAAGCGTGCAACCTTCTGGCGAGCGGCCATGCTGGAAATATATTTGGGCGTGCGGGCTACCGCCGGCTGTCAGAAATTTTGCTTGGCGTTTAGCCATTGATGCTCTTCCAACCTGGCAGAAGAAGCACATAATTGGTTTAGAAACATCCGGTTTATGTCCGGTATGTGCGATGGAAGTGGAGGATAACTATCATCCTTTTGTACGGTGTCCTCTTTCCCGTGAGCTATACCAAGCATTATCTTCAGTTTGGAACCTTCCTAGTCTGCAGAGTATCTTATTTACTGGCAGGGAGTGGCTTATCCAGTTAATTGAATCCCTGGATGATGTTCAGAGAAGCATGGTGTTGATGGTCTTTTGGAGGAGCTGGTATGTGAGGAACGAATTAGTGCATAATAAACCTACACCTCCAGTCAACGTGTCTTGCAGATTCCTTCAGAGCTATCTTGACTCTCTCATTGGCATTAAGTTGAACTCAAACGCTGATCCACGTAAAGGAAAAATGGTTATCACCTACTTTGTTGCCAGCAATCCACAATGTGCTTCAGAACCACCGTCGGGGTGGCATGCTCCAGCGCGTGGCTGGGTGAAGTTAAACTCTGACGGCGCCTTTGTTTCAGAAGGAGAAGCTGGTGCAGGGATGTTGTTCAGAGATGAGGCGGGGAGTATCATCTTCTCGGCGTGCATGAAATTGTACTCATGCCGTGATGCACTTGAGGCGGAATTATGTGCATGCATGGAAGGATTATCTTTGGCTATTCAAAGGAGTGATTTGCCGATATGTATTGAGCTGGATTCATCCACGACGGTCTCGTTGATCCAAAGTAAGGGTGAAGATAGATCAATTTATGCATCTATTATCAAAGAGATTAAGTTGCTGAGAGGTCTTCGGTTATCTAGTATTACTCATGTTTCTCACTTTTGTAATAAGGCCAGTGACAGTTTAGCTAGATTTGCTAGAGTTGAAAATAGAACCTTGACTTGGATAGGGTCAGGTCCCCCTGAAGTGGTAAAACTTGCAAACAATGATTGTATGAACACTTTCCGTGAGTAATACAAGTTCTTTACCCCACAAAAAAAAGATCAGAATGATCTAATTTTTTAATTGAAGGGTAACCTCTAATCTCTACCTTTAATCTGCATTGAAATATGTAAACTATTTTATAGGAAACTAGCGTGTAGCTTAGGATTGTTGGCGCCTCACCCGGATAGACTTCTTCTATTAAACTATGTCTTGGATGCTAGTGCATAAATACATTTTTTTAACCTAAAAATCTCTTTTTAAAAACTTCTCTAAAGGGATATTTTTTTAGCGAAGGATAGATTTTATTGAGTGAAAAGGGATTTTTTTAGCAAAGGATAGATTTTATTGAGTGAAAAGGGATTTTTTTAGCAAAGGATACAAAAATAATAAGCACACACCGTGCATAACTAAGATTGTCACAACCAATGGAAAGAGGGCACCGGAGTAGAAACCAGGAAAATAAACATTGCCCTATAAAAATCCTGTGGTGTAAATTTCTCTCCAAACCAAAGAAGGGCTAAACCGCGAGTCTGTCATGCATCGAACATCCGTCCTTTGATGACGCTACTTTTTTGTTTTCTATAGGAACAAAGAAACAGACAAACGGTACCTCCAAAGCGTAATCCGCCATCACATGTCGCGGCAGTTTTATTTTTCTTCTCTTAAAAAATACTCCTATACTGGTAGCAAATCGCTACGCAAAACTCGGCTCCATTCCAACAGAGAGCAACACAATCCAATCTTCTGCCGTCCCGTGCTCGTAGTTGGTGGAGTAGGGTTTTAGCCATGGCGTGGAGCGCCGCCGCCGCCGTCTCCAGATTCGCCGCCTCCCCGGCCGCCGAGATCCGCCTGCCCTTCTCAGCAGCAGCCGCCGCCTCCGTCTCATTCGCCGGGCGCCGCCGCTTCGGCCCCGTCGCCGCGTCCCTCGCCACCTCCGCCACCGGTACGCTCCTCATTTCCCTCTTTCCGCCGGTAGCACGTCGCCTTCACTTCCTCCTTCGAATCGATCCGACGCGTCTTAAGGAACGGATACACTGGTTATAGGATTCCTTGTGAATTTATAAGCCGAGCGCTCTCCCAATTACTCGCAGATGCCGCTCATTTAGTTTGCGTATAAACAATAGAAGGTATTACAGTTTTATGGGAATGCAGTTTGAAATGCTTGCAAAGGAAAACTGAAACATTAAGAGATGCTCTGCAATTTCCTTTCTACTTGGAAATCTTTACTCTGATAGTCTGATTGCCTGGGCCATCTGGATGGTCAGTAATGGTTTCATTTTCAAAGGAAGACCACCAAGTTTGTACTCATGCCGTTCCATGTTCAAACAGGAGTTGGACTTTAGATTCAAACGGAAAAAATATCTTTCTTTTCCAGATTGGTCAGCAACTTCAGATTATTAGCTTTGCTTCCATCCCTCATGGAAATTAACCTCCTTGTTTTCTTTTCTCTTTGATTAGTTATTGCTCTTTTGAACTTTTTTTCTGCACATTTCTTCATATGTGAAACACAAAAATATACGCAGTAGGAATTTGTTACAGTTTTTTGTCAACAAAAAGAGTTTTGAGATGCATTTGTTGATTCTAGCTACTCTATCAAGAAGCGGCTAGTTATGAGAAAGTATGCAAAGTGACATGTTTCTTTGCATAAGAAGCAATACGATTGGCGAATGAAGTGGAAACGCAAGCTTAGTCATCATTCACCACAAGAAAGCTATAGGGCTGGGTGCACCTGACAGCAGCCATAGACAATAAGTATAAATAAGACATCTGACAGCAGCCATAGACAATAAGTATAAATAACAACAACAACAAAGTCTTTAGTCCCAAACAAGTTGGGGTAGGCTAGAGGTGAAACCCATAAGATCTCGCGACCAACTCATGGCTCTGACACATGGATAGCAAGCTTCCACGCACCCCTGTCCATAGCTAGTTCTTTGGTGATACTCCAATCCTTCAGGTCTCTCTTAACGGACTCCTCCCATGTCAAATTCGGTCTACCCCGACCTCTCTTGACATTCTCCGCACGCTTTAGCCGTCTGCTATGCACTGGAGCTTCTGGAGGCCTGCGCTGAATACGCCCAAACCATCTCAGACGATGTTGGACAAGCTTCTCTTCAATTGGTGCTACCCCAACTCCATCTCGTATATCATCATTCTGGACTCGATCCTTCCTCGTGTGGCCACACATCCATCTCAACATACGCATCTCCGCCACACCTAACTGTTGAACATGTCGCCTTTTAGTCGGCCAACACTCGGCGCCATACAACATTGCGGGTTGAACCGCTGTCCTGTAGAACTTGCCTTTTAGCTTTTGTGGCACTCTCTTGTCACAGAGAATGCCAGAAGCTTGGCGCCACTTCATCCATCCGGCTTTGATTCGATGGTTCATATCTTCATCAATACCCCCATCCTCCTGCAGCATTGACCCCAAATACCGAAAGGTGTCCTTCTGAGGCACCACCTGCCCATCAAGGCTAACCTCTTCCTCCTCACACCTAGTAGTACAGTTCTACTGTCAAGAGGATTGTTTTATGCCTATCTGTTGAAGAGTTCTACTGTCAAGAGGATTGTTTTATGCCTATCTGTTGAAGATTAAGATTCATAAGTGATTTCAAACTGTGGCTCACTAGAGATGATTAAAATTTTGGTGAACTACAAAATGGGCCTAAGGACATACGAAGAGTCTCCAAGTTAACTAATTTGTTCACCAATAGATCTCGAATAATTCTTGCCCCAGTATGCATAACTGCAGAGTTTTGTTTGCTCCTACTTTATAGCTTTGTGTACCCTTGCTTGTCGCAAGCTTTTTTTTAGGTTCAGACCTGTTAAATCTGAACACGCTGTCACATTGTGATGATGTTTGTAAAATATTCTGTATAGTTCAAAAGGAGGCTGTTCAGACGGAGAAGGCGCCAGCAGCACTAGGCCCCTACTCTCAGGCGATAAAAGCAAACAATCTTGTGTTTGTCTCGGGCGTTCTTGGCCTAAATCCTGAGGTTTGCTGCTCAAACTTTTGTTCATTCATCCTTTTTCTTATTTCTCTATATCATAAAATCAATCTGTGCCTTCACTATTTGAAGATGCCAGCAGTATAACTTATGTTGAGTACCTTGCTTCTGTTTTCAGACAGGGAAGTTTGTCTCTGAAAGCGTGGAGGAGCAAACCGAGCAGGTGATGGCTTTGATGTTACTAAATGTTTCTTACATTTCCTCACAGAAAAAGAAAAAAAATGTTGCTACATTATCTGAGCTTAGTGTGTCAGATGCAAACATTATGCCCTGCTTAGTTTCTGAGTTACTCCAAGTCCCAACCGTTTCTTTGTGAGGCTTACCCATGTATTAGTATTATATACTTTGAATCTGGCAATGTATTTATTATTCTGGTGCGCTGAACACATTGCTCTGCCTTTTAGAGACCTCTGTTGGTAGACTTTGCATATTTGGTTAATGGTTAGTCTCTATGTTGAAATCATATGCAATTAGGTGATGGTATTGGTGATCCTGCCTTTGCAGTCACTAAATATAAACGTCTGCTATATCTGCTGCAACTTTGGTGCCCATTTCTGACATCTATTTTGCGTTTCTCCTGTTGTGTGACAGGTTATGAAGAACATGGGTGAAATATTGAAAGCAAGTGGTGCTAGCTACTCATCAGTTGTCAAGACAACAATCATGTGTGTAGTACTGCATGCCCTTTACATGGAATTTTTGTTGCTAAAAGATGTTATGATCCCTGGGAATAATTCCATTCTTGTACGTGCAGGTTAGCGGACCTACAGGATTTCAAGAACGTGAATGAGATTTACGCTAAATGTAAGTCTGATGTTTGTACTTCCTTTGTTGTTGTCACCATCTATCTATGCCTCTGATTGCAGTAATTGACACACGAACCGTGTGCAAGGATGTTCCTTCACCTTGTTTCTGAATTTCTCAACCTTTTCTCCTTTGTAGATTTTCCAGCCCCTGCACCAGCGCGCTCGACCTACCAAGTCGCAGCTCTGCCACTGAACGCCAGGATTGAGATCGAATGCATTGCTGCCCTCTAGTTACCTCGTGGCTGGCCACCAAAAACCTCAATAAGCATTCCATGCCCGTTGCAGCTGGCCACTACTATTCTGTAGTGCACTACATGACACTGTAATCCAATTAAGGTCTTGAACTGCATGTGATCGGTGTACTGTCTCTCATTGTTTGGTCGTGGGGTATTGCTCCCTGTCCAATCTTATGCCTCGTTGTATAACCGGTAACCTCGTATAAGGAAACGTGAAATTAAAATGGTCAAATTGAGCGTATGAATTAGCCCATACTCTTTCTTCACAGTGTCGGTGCCCCCCTTGTGTTTGATCTGAGCCTTTCACATCTAAACCGTCGAATCCCTACTTTTCTAGCTACGTCTCCCTCAGTTTCTTGTTGACCTGTTGTACTTACGTAGTCTGCGGTCCTCTTGTTTTAAGGAAACGAGATGTAGACGCAACGCAAGCGCGTGGACAACGGATATACAGGTGCGTGACTCTTTATTTAAGGAACATGGAATGTGAGAATAATCGAACAGTGTGGATACTACTCCCCCTCTGAGCAACCCATAATTTATTTTCAGCAGCTTGTGTTGAAAAACTCTCGTTCTGTCTCTTTGATCCGTTGAAAAACGCGTGATCAATCCTACTAGGAATTTAAAATGTGTGTGATTACTTCTTTTGTTGAACGGGGATCTCTTTTCTTATTGACAGTTGTTCAACATGGAATTTCTGTATACTTATCCTACTACTCTTGTAGAAATTCCACCGCAATTGTTTTGCACATAACAAGCAGCAGGCATTGTGTTTCAAGACTAAAGTTTAAGGTATTAGCCAAAAAAGAGAGTGATCTTTCTTGGGTACACTTGATTTGGGAATCTTACTACAGCAACAGAGCCCCAACCAGCAGACATGTTGGCTCTTTCTGGTGGAAGTCCATCATTAAGTTACTTCCGATTTTCAAGGAATTGGCTCACTGCTCTGTAGGACAAGGTTCCTCAGTTATGTTTTGGCATGATAGTTGGGGTCCTGTTCCTCTAAAGCTGCAATTCCCTCATCTGTTTTCCTTCGCAAAGGATGAATTGCTATCCATCCAAGAGGCCTCTCACTTCAGCTCCTTCCAAGATCTTTTTCACCTGCCTCTGTCCAATCTAGCCTTTGCACAGTTTCATCAAGCACAAGCATGTTTAGAGCAAGCTAATCTTCGAGGACATGCTGATCAATGGAAATACATTTGGAACTCGGCCACATTTTCCCCTTCAAAAGCCTATAATTTTCTCATCAAAGGGGAGGAGGCACATTCTATTTTCAAGAAGATTTGGGCTACTGCTGTTATGTTAAGATATAAAATCTTCTTCTGGTTGCTACTGCATGATCGAGTAAACACAAGAGGTCTTTTACACAGAAAATCTTTCCACCTCCCATCTTATATGTGCGAGCTCTGTTCTGATCAAGTTGAAGAAACTGCTATGCACTTGTTTTGGGACTGCCCCTTTCCATGTTCTGATCAAGTTGAAGATGCTGGGACATGTTTTTCCCACACAAACATAGAGACACAAGTGTTATTTCTGAGATTCTTTTAGCTCTGAATCATATCCCAAAGGAAGTTGGTCTGAACTTTATCATCATGGCTTGCTGGCAAATTTGGATGCAAAGGAATTTCAAAATATTCAGACATATTACTCCCAATGTCATGACATGGAAAGTGCTCCTCAAGAAAGATCTACTTCTTAAACACAGGATCAAGTTGAAACATAAGCAATCCTTTTCAGACTGGATTGACGCACATTTCTAAGCTCTATGTTTGTTCCCATGATGTTTCCCAAGATAGGCATTGGTTAGCTTAGCTGTTTTTCCTTTTTCCTTTTCCTTTTCTGCTGTAAATATTTATTTTTATTAATATAAATTACCGTAGAACTATTGTTCTACGGTCTCTTCCTCAAAAAAAAAAAAAGAGAGACTAAAGTTTAAGGTACAAGTGGGATATAAAATGGGTGCGAGAAGCTTAATTAACCTCCCCAGATGGGCGTGGTAATTTTTTCGGATCTTCTAAACTCACTTCCCAGTTAAAAAAATATTCATCGGTAGACACCCGAAGCATGAACTCTACACTTCTCGTTCAAAGTGAAACACGGGGCCGGTTTTATCCCAAGGAATTCACAAGTCTAGATACCAGCATATGCTGGTAGCTTTAAGGATCCGGTGAGATCTGACTTTGCGGTTACATATCAAACCATCCTGAACCTGATGGGTAGCTAGGTAGCTCCCAAAAGGATGACAGCATCCGGCGCGACTAGAATACCAAATAATCCTGATGAGGAGTCCACCAGCCAACGGAAGCACCCATCCCCTCACCTTTAGAAAAGAAAAGGGGTAATGTAATGGGGAGCTTGCAAAAGCCAACTCCAATTAACATCCATATCATTCTGGCTTTCCGTGCTTTGTACTGGAATTGTGTGAAAAGTGCTGTATATAGTGGATATTCTCATCGTAAAAGGCATGGGATATGCCTCCCGAGGAGACAAAGATGAGTCAGAGACACTTCCGTAGTGGGCAGTCCAGATTAGCAACAAAAGGACAGATGCTCTAGCCTCCACCATAGGCGTGGAGTTAGTTTCATCTGCCTAAGATAAGAGGGAAAAGGAGAGATGGAGAAAGAGGATGCGTACTGACCTACATATACAAACACTAGCGTTGCAATCAGCTGGAATCTTCCATATGTATATGCTCATGAGATCAGTATCCAGTTACACGTATCAATCAAACCATGAGATCATCGTCCAGCATCCATTTGTACTACTACTCGGTTCCGTTGATTAATAATATAGCTACAAATCTAATAAATCTAGCTGTAGTGGTTGGTGTTTTGAGTTTTTTTTTTTTGAAGGTCGCCCTGATGAACAATAAAAAAGAAAAGAATCTGCAAAAGGATTTGCCTGCCCACTGGCCTGTCACTATCGCAGCTAATCAATCAAACGGCCAGATGCCTGGTTATCTATCGAGCACGTACAACGGTTGACGCCCCCACCAACCACGTGTCTAAGTCTATTGCTTAGCGACAACACGGAGCAATATATATAGCTTGAGTTGCTACCCCACCAGAAAACTCACCATTGTGATCATCAAATGAACCCCATCTCGTTCAATTAGTTAGGATTTGATAAGTGTCACACGTCATTTGAAATTAGTTACCAGGAAGAAATGTGAAGGTCCAAGTGTGACCCTCGCTAACAGAGACAAAGACATACTAGTATTATACTAGATTAGGTATGCATCAGCACCAAAAGAAAAAAAAAAGTAAAAGTTGCTTGCGGTCATGACCCCGTACCGCACGTCTCTTTCGGCCTCACACAGTGATCTATGAGCATAATTGATTTGCTACCAACATTTGGTTACTTTTTGTGAGATTGGCAATGAGAATTGGCAAATAACCGATCTCTAGCCAATATTTGACAGTTGTCAAAATTTGACATGTCAACTTTTGACATCAAACCAATTATGCTCATAGATCACTGTGGCCGGCCAGGCAACGGACCTGGACATGATCACATGATACGATAGACTGTTGGGGAGCAAGAGCCACAAGAATTGAAACATGAGTTGCAATTTCATAAGGATGAGTGTATGCGTATATGTATGAGCGCTTGCATCTGTACTGGCTAAAAAAACAAAAAAGTTACTCACGGTCATGACCCCGTACCGTACATCTCTTTCGGCCTTGTTAGTATATATTTTGTATTGCACACGTATTGGAGTTGTGGCACATCTCCTAGTCTTGTATAGTTGAGATAGAGGCCTTCCCTTATATTATATATGCGTGCACCAGCACCCCAATCAATATATTGCATTGCAAATCATCTGTTAACATGGCACCTCGATGCCGAGAAAGTAGTGCAGGGGCCCCAAGTCCTTGAGGGCAAACTCATCACGAAGACGAGCAGTCAGCCGCTGAAGGAGATCGGGGCCGGACGCCGTGAGGATGATGTCGTCGACGTAGAGCAGCAGATATGCAGTGTCAGCTCCCTGATGATACACAAAGAGTGAATCATCGGAGCGAGTGGACCGAAAGCCCGGAGACTGCAGGAAGGCTGCTATACACTGGTACCAAGCCCGAGGCGCCTGCTTCAACCCGTAAAGAGAGCGGGAGAGCAACCACACAAAGTCGGGGTGCTCGGCGTCGACGAAACCAGTAGACTGCTCACACACCTGCTCGGCGGGATGACCGTGCAAGAAGGCGTTGGAAACTTCCAACTGATGCACAGGCCAGGCGCGCGAGACCACCAGCTGAAGGACGGCGCGGATCATGCCCGGTTTCACAACCGGGGCGAAGGTGTCGGTGAAGTCCACGCCCGCGCGCTGCCGAAAACCACGAACCACCCTGACGGCCTCCGCCTCCCTCGACCTCGTGGCCTACTCGGATGCTGACCGGGCTGGCTGCCCCAACACGTGACGCTCTACGTCAGGCTACTGCATCTACCTTGGGCCCTCGTTGATCTCTTGGTCATCGAAGCGGCAGCCCACGGTCTCCCGCTCCAGCGCCGAGGCAGGGTATCGCGCCGTGGCTAATGTCGTGGCCGAGTGCTCTTGGATACGTCAGTTGCTTCGGGAGTTGCTTTGTGATGTTCACAAGGCCACTCTTGTCTACTGCGATAACGTCAGCGCGGTCTACCTCTCCGCCAACCCAGTACACCATCGACGGATGAAGCATATTGAGCTCGATATTCACTTCGTGCGCGAGCAGGTTGCCCTTGGCTGTGTTTGGGTTCTCCACATGCCGACGACGCAACAGTTTGCTGATGTGATGACTAAGGGATTGCCTACTCCCGTCTTACCGAAAAAGGCTTTCGCCCCGCTTTATAAATAAAGCAACCACCGAGCACAAAGTAACAAGGTCTCAACCACACAACACACACACAAACACAACCACCGTGGACAGGACCGACAGGCACAAACATAAACGAGACCCAAGTTCAGCTGTGGGCACAGCACAACAAGCCCAACACAAGAGACACAACATAGAACGACGGTGGCGA